TTTATCGACAACACTGGCATAATGAACAGGATGGACGCAGCTCTCTGCTCTCAGGCCCCGCCCCTTTCTCAGAATAATGTTCAGGCTGACCAATGAGAGCGCTCGCTGTGGTTTCCTGTGTGTGTGTGTGTGTGTGTGTGTGTGTGTGTGGTTTATTATTAATTCTGCAGAATTCTATCTGTTGTTGTTTCTCAGTAACTTACATTTACTGTCCGCTCATCTTTCTTCTTAAATTTATTCTCAGCAGTTTCAAAACCTCATTTCCTCTATTCCTCAGTTTGTACAGTTAACATACAGACAACATACAGACAACATGCAGACAACATACAGACAACATACAGACTATATACAGACAACGTACAGACAACGTACAGACAACATACAGACAATGTACAGACAACATACAGACAACGTACAGACAACGTACAGACAACATACAGACTATATACAGACAACGTACAGACTATGTACAGACAACATACAGACAACATACAGACAACATACAGACAACATACAGACAACATACAGACAACATACAGTGGACATACAGACAACATACAGTGGACATACAGACAACATACAGTGGACATACAAACAACATACAGACAACGTACAGACAACGTACAGACAACATACAGACAATATACAGACAACGTACAGACTATGTACAGACAACATACAGACAACATACAGAGAACCCACAGAGAACATACAGACAACATACAGACAACATACAGACTATATACAGACAACATACAGACAACATACAAACAACATACAGAGAACATACAAACAACATACAGACAACATACAAACAACATACAGACAACATACAGACAACATACAGAGACCACACAGACAATATACAGACAACATACAGAGAACATACAAACAACATACAGTGAACATACAAACAACATACAGACAACATACAAAGAACATACAGACAATATACAGACAACATACAGACAATATACAGACAACATACAGTGAATATACAGACAACATATAGACAACATACAGACAACATACAGTGAACATACAGAGAACAATCAAACAACATACAGACAACATACAAACAACATACAGTGAACATACAGTGAACATACAGACATATTACATATCTAAAATATATATTCCAGTAATAATAATATGTGTCCCTCTGGAGGCAGCAGACACATATTTAAAGCTGTCTCTCTGCCTGTCTCCGTCTGTCTCTCTCTGTCTACCTCTCTGTCTCTCTGCCTGTCTCTGTCTGTCTCTCTGCATGTCTCTCTGCCTCAGTGGAAAGATCAGTGTGTAGGTCGTCATGGTGACTCAGTCTCTCTCTCAGGTTGATGGAGGGAGTTTCCCGCTGTGTGTTTTCACATTAAGACAACCTGATCAACAGATTGAGATCAGTCACTGTCACCTGTCCTCAAAAATTCCAGAGAGAGAGAGAGAGAGAGAGAGAGAGAGTCACCTGTGTTTGATACAGAGGAGTTACAGTGGGTACGGAAAGTATTCAGACCCCTTTAAAATTTTCACTCTTTGTTTCATTGCAGCCATTTGCTAAAATCCAAAAAGTTCATTTTATTTCTCATTAATGTACACTCAGAACCCCATCTTGACAGAAAAAAACAGAAATGTAGAAATTTTTGCAAATTTATTAAAAAAGAAAAACTGAAATATCACATGGTCATAAGTATTCAGACCCTTTGCAGTGACACTCATATTTAACTCACATGCTGTCCATTTCTTCTGATCCTCCTTGAGATGGTCCTGCTGCTTCATTGGAGTCTAGCTGTGTTTAATTAAACTGATTGGACTTGATTAGGAAAGGCACACACCTGTCTATATAAGACCTTACAGCTCACAGTGCATGTCAGAGCAAATGAGAATCATGAGGTCGAAGGAACTGCCCAAGGAGCTCAGAGACAGAATTGTGGCAAGGCACAGATCTGGCCAAGGTTACAAAAGAATTTCTGCAGCACTCAAGGTTCCTAAGAGCACAGTGGCCTCCATAATCCTTAAATGGAAGAAGTTTGGGACGACCAGAACTCTTCCTAGACCTGGCCGTCCAGCCAAACTGAGCAATCGTGGGAGAAGAGCCTTGGTGAGAGAGGTAAAGAAGAACCCAAAGATCACTGTGGCTGAGCTCCAGAGATGCAGTAGGGAGATGGGAGAAAGTTCCACAAAGTCAACTATCACTGCAGCCCTGCACCAGTCGGGGCTTTATGGCAGAGTGGCCCGACGGAAGCCTCTCCTCAGTGCAAGACATATGAAAGCCCGCATAGAGTTTGCCAAAAAACACATGAAGGACTCCCAGACTATGAGAAATAAGATTCTCTGGTCTGATGAGACCAAGATTGAACTTTTGGCGTTAATTCTAAGCGGTATGCGTGGAGAAAACCAGGCACTGCTCATCACCTGCCCAATACAATCCCAACAGTGAAACATGGTGGTGGCAGCATCAGGCTATGGGGGTGTTTCTCAGCTGCAGGGACAGGATGACTGGTTGCAATTGAAGGAAAGATGAATGCAGCCAAGTACAGAGATATCCTGGAAGAAAACCTCTTCCAGAGTGCTCAGGACCTCAGACTGGGCCGAAGGTTCACCTTCCAACAAGACAATAACCCTAAGCACACAGCTAAAATAACAAAGGAGTGGCTTCGGAACAACTCTGTGACCATTCTTGACTGGCCCAGCCAGAGCCCTGACATAAACCCAATTGAGCATCTCTGGAGAGATCTGAAAATGGCTGTCCACCAACGTTCACCATCCAACCTGACAGAACTGGAGAGGATCTGCAAGGAAGACTGGCAGAGGATCCCCAAATCCAGGTGTGAAAAACTTGTTGCATCATTCCCAAGAAGACTCATGGCTGTAGTAGCTCAAAAGGGTGCTTCTACTCAATACTGAGCAAAGGGTCTGAATACTTATGACCATGTGATATTTCAGTTTTTCTTTTTTAATAAATTTGCAAAAATTTCTACATTTCTGTTTTTTTCTGTCAAGATGGGGTGCTGAGTGTACATTAATGAGAAATAAAATGAACTTTTTTGATTTTAGCAAATGGCTGCAATGAAACAAAGAGTGAAAAATTTAAAGGGGTCTGAATACTTTCCGTACCCACTGTATCAGAGGGAGGAGGAGATTGAAGAGAGAGGACGTGTTGGAGTGAAAGTATAAAGTAGAATAAGAATATAATACTCCCATAAAGTACAAATACCTCAGACTAGAACACTCCTGATAATCTGTTGATACTGAGTCCAAAAGGAAGTAACGTGTAGATTAAAATCTCTTTTAAGTGTGCTGAGGACTCAAACAACCCTTAATGCTGAAATTTCACCGGCTACAGATCTATGACGTCGGTTCGGTGTTTTCAAATCCTCTTCACAGCGTCCTCACAGCGTCCTCACGGTGTGTCTCACCAGTTGCCTGAACTGCAGATGGATTAAAGACATTCTTTATTTTTATCATTCAGTCAGTTTTTAATATTGATACACAACCTGTCACATGACCACGGCCTGTGAAACACAGTGAACTGCATGAACCTGAAAAACACACACACACACACACTGGGTGATGTGTTGGGACATTCCCTCCACCTGCTGCTGATCAACCATGTGTGTTAGTTTTGTTATGAGTCTCTGTGTGTGTGTGTGTGTGTGTGTGTGTGTGTGTGTGTGTGTGTGTGTGTGTGTGTGTGTGTGTGTGTGTGTGTGTGTCATAAAGTCAGTTAGCTGTGATGTTGTTGAGTGCTGACACACACACACACACACATCCATGTTTCGGGTCAGAGCTTCAGTTTTGCTTCGCTTTAAGGTTGCGGTCCGGGTCCTCACAAAGATAGAAATGCTCACTCTCACACACAGCGCTGATGAGAAACAGGAAGTTGTCAGGGGAGATTCTGAGAATCACCGTGGTGATGGACCATGTGACTTGCTGGAAATCAAACCAAAGTGATGCTCATTTGCATACGTGTGTGTGTGTGTGTGTGTGTGTGTGTGTGTGTGTGTGTGAGTGAACAGCCGACCAATCAGGGCTGAGCATCAGATTTCGACTCGATGTCAGGATTCGATTCAGAGTTCATTTGTGTGAAAGAAGTATTTTTAGTTGCTCTGGTGTCTCTGTATGAACACAGCCAGCGGCGCTTAGCTTAGCATAAAGACTGACAACAGGGGGAAACTGCTAGCCTGGCTCTGTCTGAAAGAAATGAACTCCTTCCAGCTCCTCTAAAATTCACTGATGAACACGTTTTATATATGAAGTGTAAAAATGACCATTAACTGCAGGAAGTTATGAGACTTTATTTTGATAAAGATGGATTGTTTCCACACACTTTTGTTCTCGCTGCTGCAGATGAGCCGTTATTAAAGTTCACTACAACTAAACTGTTTGATGTGAAAACTAATTTTAGTTCACTGAAAAAAAAAATAAATCAGGAAATGTCTTAAGTTTTAGTTTTTGGTCAACACAACAACATGAGGAGCTGCTGGTTCACCGAGTCAGTGTGTTTCTACCTATTCAGACAAATAACCCATTATAGTAATTATATTATTATAATTATTATAAAAAACTGACACTTATAAAACCGAAACTAAACATTTTTAACGATAACAACTAGAGGCTCATTGGGCTCTGGTTATCGGCCGGTAAAGGTCGATCACACACAGTTTCTAAACGCTCACAACAGTCAAAGTATCTTGAACTTTTCAGTGCAGACTGAAATGAAGTAAGAGACCGGCTTCACTACTTCACCACTTCCTTCCTTTGATGCTCTTCATTATGTAGGTCAATAGGTTAGCTAGTTAGCTAATTAGTTAGCTAACTAACTAGTTGTTGGACTGAGAGCTACTGATCAGGATACACAAGTAACCTCAGTCATCTTCTTTGCCCCGCCCCACTGGCGCTCTTTGCCGCTAACTGTGCTTCTTCTTCAGCTGTTCATTGTTGACTTTAACTGTAAGTGATGCTCCAGCTGGTATAAAACTAACCCCACTGTCTCTGTGTCTCAGCCGATCAGGTGTACGGGGATCAGGATATGCATGAAGTGGTCAGGAAGCACTGTATGGACTACCTGGTGAGTCACTCTGAGGGTGCTGGGATTCACACGTCTTCCTCCGTGAGCTCAGTCTGGGTTAATAAAGTTGTTTTTCCCTCCAGATGAAGAACGCCGACTATTTCTCCAACTACGTGACAGAGGACTTCACCACATACATCAACAGGAAGAGGAAAAACAATTGCCACGGCAACCACATCGAGATGCAGGCCATGGCCGAGATGTACAACAGACCGGTGGAGGTGTACCAGTACAGCACAGGTGAGTCCGTCCGGCCAATGAGAAGCTCCGGATCTGTCAGCCAATCACATACCTCAGCCCTGACCCCTCCTCCTCCTCCTCCGGCCACAGAACCAATCAACACGTTCCACGGCATCCACCAGAACAACGACGAGCCAATCAGAGTGAGCTACCACCGCAACATCCACTACAACTCTGTGGTGAACCCCAACAAGGCCACGATCGGGGTCGGACTGGGACTGCCCGCCTTCAAACCAGGGGTACCAAAACCGTGTGTGTGTGTGTGTGTGTGTGTGTGTGTGTGTGTGTGTGTGTGTGTGTGTGTGTGTGTGTGTGTGTGTGTGTGTGTGTGTGTGTGTGTGTGTGTGTGTGTGATCAGTACTTGAACTGGTACGTGTGTTAACTGGTGGATTTCCTCTGCCCCCAGTACGCAGAGCAGTCTCTGATGAAGTCAGCCATCAAGACGTCGGAGGAGTCGTGGATCGAGCAGCAGATGTTGGAGGACAAGAAGAGAGCGACGGACTGGGAGGCCACCAACGAGGCCATCGAGGAGCAGGTGGCCCGGGAGTCTTACCTGCAGTGGCTGCAGGACCAGGAGAAACAAGCGCGACAGGTACGGGGGGGGGGGGCTCGCACTATGTGCTAGTGTCAGCGTCAGCCTTCCAGTGAACAGACCCGGGACCGAACACAATCTCAGAGACCAACTGTAAATCCAGTACAGAGGTAGTTTTCTTGCTGGGTTTGGCTCCTTGCGTCCCGTAATCAGTCATCAACTACTTATATTGATTATCAGGAAACTCTAAAATACCATTAAGAACACCTGAAGATACTTCCTGTCAGTGTTGGACAGAAACTAGAGGACAGGAGACGTATAAAGACAGAGGAGATAAACACTGAATGGAGACTTTAAACAGGATGTAAATGTACATCAGTTGAACACACACAGCGCCCGAACTAAACGTCTCTCCTCTTTCAGCCCCGTAAGGCCAGCGCCACCTGCAGTTCAGCGACGGCAGCGGCTTCCAGCGGACTGGACGACTGGAGCGCCCGGTCGCCACGGCAACGTGACTCCGACCCCTCCCACTCAGACCTCACGACCGCCCCATCGACCAACAACAAGCCCCCCTCCCCGGCCGGAGCCGCCCTGATCCTGAGCAAACCCCCCTCCCCCTGCGCACCAGGTAACACACACACAGGTTTTACTTTAGCTACGTTGTGAGGACCCTCACTCCTCACTCGTTCCAATACCTCAGGTGTGTTTAGCCGGTCTTACTGAACTCTTTCCTGTCGACTGTTTCTGTGTGTGTGTAGGTCCCAGTAATCAGAGTCGTCATCATTTGGAGTACAGAGCCATCATGCAGGAGATGTCACCTACAGCGTTTGGTAAGATACTAAAGCTTTAGTCACACACAAGATCTTTCACAAGGAGTCATACAGGAGCACACAAAGGGAAACCATTTGATCCTGATCACCCTGACCAGTAATCAATATTCCCAATATTAAAGCATCAATCAACCTGATCAGCCTTCAGCAGTTGGCTAGTGTCTCTGTAGTGGAGACTAAACGTTAACAATGATCCATATCAGCAGTTTGAATCCAACTAAAAGCTCCCTGCACCAAACTCCCTTTAAGAAATATCACATTTTAACAATTCCTAACGTGTTCGTAACAACACGTAACTCTAGAAACACGAGCTAAAGGCCGTCATATGTCCACAGTCTGACTGTCAATACAGGATCAATATCATCCATAAAGATACAGTGTATACTGATCAATATCATCCATAAAGATAGTGTATTCTGATCAATATCATCCATAAAGATACAGTGTATTCTGATCAATAATCAATAAAGATAGTGTATTCTGATCAATATCATCCATAAAGATACAGTGTATTCTGATCAATAATCAATAAAGATACAATGTATTCTGATCAATAATCAATAAAGATACAATGTATTCTGATCAATAATCAATAAAGATACAATGTATTCTGATCAATAATCAATAAAGATACAGTGTATTCTGATCAATAATCAATAAAGATACAATGTATTCTGATCAATAATCAATAAAGATACAGTGTATACTGTACAGACTTTACATTTTGTCCTGTAGCTGTCAGTCAGTTTCTGTTGTTTACTGTCAAACCTCAACAGGAAACAGAGTGTGTGTGTGTGTGTGTGTGTGTGTGTGTGTGTGTGTGTGTGTGTGTGTGTGTGTGTGTGTGTGTGTGTGTGTGTGTGTGTGTGTGTGTGTGTGTGTGTGTGTGTGTGTGTGTGAGGGTGAGGTGGTGTCATCCAGTTTCAGTGTCTAACAGACGTTATCAGATGTTGACTGTGAGCACTAACATGTTGTACGAACAGAAGAAGTTTCTGTCAGCTTCATCACTTTCCCGCTCGTTAACGGCGTCTTTACTCAGGATGTAATCAGCCGCCGTTACCCAGAACTCCTATCACTCCGCATTAGATCCACGTAGGCAGTTTACAGCCGGGGCTGTGTGAGGATGTTCTGATCCTGAAGGAATAACTGCTGATTGATTAGGAAGTATTGGACACATTCAGATGTGGAAAGTATTGCTTCCTGTGCTTAGAAATGCTATGTGCTAAGCTAGTCTTGTTTTGTGACATATATATATAGTTACATCTTTTCTTATCTAACATAACTGTGGTGATCCTCTGACATACTAAACTAAAACTGATTAACATTATACCTGCTCATCTTCGGTCCCTGTGGTACTGTGGGTCCCTGTGTACTGTGGGTCCCTGTGGTACACTCGGTCCCTGTGGTACTGTGGGTCCCTGTGGTACTGTGGGTCCCTGTGGTACTGTGGGTCCCTGTGGTACTGTGGGTCCCTGTGGTACAGTCGGTCCCTGTGGTACAGTCGGTCCCTGTGGTACTGTGGGTCCCTGTGTACAGTCGGTCCCTGTGGTACTGTGGGTCCCTGTGGTACAGTCGGTCCCTGTGGTACAGTCGGTCCCTGTGGTACACTGGGTCCCTGTGGTACTGTGGGTCCCTGTGGTACTGTGGGTCCCTGTGGTACAGTCGTCCCTGTGGTACAGTCGGTCCCTGTGGTACAGTCGGTCCCTGTGGTACTGTGGGTCCCTGTGGTACAGTCGGTCCCTGTGGTACAGTCGGTCCCTGTGGTACAGTCGGTCCCTGTGGTACTGTGGGTCCCTGTGGTACTGTGGGTCCCTGTGGTACAGTCGGTCCCTGTGGTACAGTCGGTCCCTGTGGTACTGTGGGTCCCTGTGGTACAGTCGTCCCTGTGGTACACTCGGTCCCTGTGGTACAGTCGGTCCCTGTGGTACTGTGGGTCCCTGTGGTACAGTCGGTCCCTGTGTACAGTCGGTCCCTGTGGTACTGTGGGTCCCTGTGGTACTGTGGGTCCCTGTGGTACTGTGGGTCCCTGTGTACAGTCGGTCCCTGTGGTACAGTCGGTCCCTGTGGTACAGTCGGTCCCTGTGGTACTGTGGGTCCCTGTGGTACAGTCGGTCCCTGTGGTACAGTCGGTCCCTGTGGTACTGTGGGTCCCTGTGGTACTGTGGGTCCCTGTGGTACAGTCGTCCCTGTGGTACAGTCGGTCCCTGTGGTACAGTCGGTCCCTGTGGTACTGTGGGTCCCTGTGGTACAGTCGGTCCCTGTGGTACAGTCGGTCCCTGTGGTACAGTCGGTCCCTGTGGTACTGTGGGTCCCTGTGGTACTGTGGGTCCCTGTGGTACAGTCGGTCCCTGTGGGGTCCCTGTGGTACAGTCGGTCCCTGTGGTACTGTGGGTCCCTGTGGTACAGTCGTCCCTGTGGTACACTCGGTCCCTGTGGTACAGTCGGTCCCTGTGGTACAGTCGGTCCCTGTGGTACAGTCGGTCCCTGTGGTACAGTCGGTCCCTGTGGTACAGTCGGTCCCTGTGGTACTGTGGGTCCCTGTGGTACAGTCGGTCCCTGTGGTACAGTCGGTCCCTGTGGTACTGTGGGTCCCTGTGGTACTGTGGGTCCCTGTGGTACTGTGGGTCCCTGTGGTACAGTGCGTCCCTGTGGTACAGTCGGTCCCTGTGGTACAGTCGGTCCCTGTGGTACTGTGGGTCCCTGTGGTACAGTGGTCCCTGTGGTACAGTCGGTCCCTGTGGTACTGTGGGTCCCTGTGGTACAGTCGTCCCTGTGGTACTGTGGGTCCCTGTGGTACACTCGGTCCCTGTGGTACACTCGGTCCCTGTGGTACAGTCGGTCCCTGTGGTACAGTCGGTCCCTGTGGTACAGTCGACCCTGTGGTACAGTCGGTCCCTGTGGTCTGATCCGGTCTCTGGTGTGTTTCAGGTCTGACGGACTGGGAGGACGATGAGATTCTGGCGTCGGTGCTGGCTGTCTCTCAGCAGGAGTACCTGGACAGCATGAAACACCAGAGCGCCGCCGCCATGCATCGAGAGCGAGAGCCGTCACCCGACAGCAGCTGATAGCCGGCCGACACACACAAACACAACGATGACCTTTGGCCCCCTCCTCCCGCCCCTCCACCCTCCTGAACCCCCTCCTCGCCTCTGACCCGCAGAAGGAGACCGACCAGGGAAAAAATAAAACATCAATCAAAGAAATGCACACTTGTTTTTTTCTCCAGACGTTTGAACTCATCCGCTCATCGCTCTCTCTCCATCCTGTCGTCTCCTTCCTTCCTTCCCTGTTTCCTTCCCTCCTTTCCTCTCCGTCTCGTTTCCTTCCAGCCAATAACGATCCAGCCCCCCCCCCCCGCTCTCATTCTCTGGTTTCCACTCATTTAAACATCGGGCAAAAGTTCATCGTCAGTTTAGATTTTAATATTTTATTTAAGATGTTCATTCTGTTTGTAGCAGGGTATTAGCTCTGCGGCTAGCAGGGCCATTGGTTTCAATGAGGAATGCTAATCAGAACAGTGTCAGTAACCTGTGGGCTACGTTAGCATGCTCTTTAGCGAGCAAGCTATCACCTGAAGTCTTACTCTGTTTTAAAGCTAGTTCCTGCTCACACGCTAACATTTTAATCTTCTCGCAGCTCCTGAGAAAACTGTCCCGTGCTAACTGGAACTGAACCAGACGATTAGCCTAAAAGTATAAATCAGTGTCCTGTAGGCTACGTTAGCATGCTCTTTAAACTAGTTCCTGCTAACTCTGCTAACAGGCCACAGTGCTGTTAGCTTAGCTGTGGCTCCTCCCACTGGCAGCCAGCGAGTAATGCTAATCATTGAAAGAGACTAGCAGTCTGTGGCGTGTAGGCTACGTTAGCATGCTCTTTAGAGAGCAAGCTATCACCTGAAGCCTTATTATGTATCAATGCTATCTCTCGCTTCTTAGCTAACACCGCTAACCAGCTGCGTTACAGTTAGCTTAGCGGCCGATAGCAAAATCATGTCTCACAATTACGTTCCAACAAAATCAGCTGGTCTGTAACTCCTCCTCCTCTCTTTCTCCTTTTGGTCTTCCTCCTCCTCCTCCTCCTCCTCCTCCTCACCTCCTCCATCACCGTCATCTTCATCATCATCATCATCATCATTGGACTTATTTAGCTGCATGTTTAATTGACCACGACCAATATCATCATAGAGAAAAAGCGACAAATAAAAAAGGAGAGAAAAAAAATTGAGAATTGTCATACTTATCCTCTTAATGATTGATTATTGTTGTTATTATTAATATTATACGTTTGTTTTATTTTATTTTCTTGTTTGGGATGAAAAGATCTTTTTTTTCTTGGAATAAAAAGAGGAAAATGTTTCTGAAAAAACAACAAATGTTTGTGAGATTGATTTCTTTTGTGCAGACAAACAGAAAACTGCTTCTTCATCTTTTCTTCCTCCTTCGTATCCTCTCATATTTCCTGCTGACTTCATCTCATCCTCCTTTAGTCACTTTCTTTTGTCTCCTTCTATGAATGTCCTCATGTTTAACTTTCATTTTCTTTCTTCATTCACAAAATCTTCTCGTCTTCCTTCCTTTCATCTTCGCTCTGTTTCTCTTTTCTTTTTCAGACAAACTATAAAAAACAACATCTGAACTTAATACAAAGAAGTTGTTAATGTGTGTACATTTGACTGTATTACTTTAGATTGTAGGTTAACATTTCAACTGTCAGCAAAGAACAGCTACAAACCAAAACAGATCAAAAATATTCATCTTCATCTTCATGTCTTTATAAGAGTGATTGTGTTTGCATTGATGAAACAGCAGCATTGTGTCCAGGTAGAAAATATAATGTATATAAAAGGTTCTGAGTAACTTCATAGAATTGATCATGTCCCAATGTTGCTGCCAAAGTCCCGTTAAAATCCCCTGATCAATAATAATCGTATTTATTAGTCTATTATTCTCCAGACAATGTGGACCAGAACCAGAGTTTACTGTTAGAAACAGTTATCATCATTAGCGTTAATAATCAGCTCTATGGACGCTACAGGAGGATGGGGGGGTTATTGAGGTCAGTGTCCACAGTTCAGCTCCCAGTGGGCCGACTGCGGCTCAGTCTGAGCAGAACTGAACAAATTAAATATGTCAGAAATGGATTCAGCGTCCTTAATAACCCCCCCCAACCTCAGCCATATAGGTGATTATAATTATTGATGCTAATGATGCTAATTGTCTAACATATGCAGCTTAGCATCAGTCAGTGCAACAGCTGGAGACAGTTCGAACATTAAACTTTATTCTCAGTGTTTCGTGTTGCTAAAGGTCGACTATCATTCACTGCTACAGTACACGGTTTCATTTCTTCTCCAATATTAACACATTAATGGATCAATAATCAATAGTCAAATTCAACAGTTGGTAGAGGGCTCAGGAAACACAGCAAACAATATATTTTCATTTAAAAGGGTAAAATCAGAATCAATATATTGGAAAATAAAAGCTCAAATATATTCAACAAAAAGAACAAAACCAAAATAAATGTCATTAATCTTAATATTAAGAGTTATTAGTTATTATTAGTGACACAGTGTAGAATAAATGTCCCTCCTTGGTGTTACAGTCTCATTCTGACCTTTCTGCTCAATTCTTATAATGACACATTTATTTTGACAGGAACCGGAAACCAGCGGCGATTTTTAACTGTTGGCCTCGAGCTCAGAAGAGAACTGCGCGCGTGCGTGACACAACGAGAAAGAAGCGCGTGAAGAGGAACCGCGGATACCGCTCGCGCTAATTTTCATTGTGTGCGTGCGCGCGCGCGTGTGTGCATTTTGGGGAAACCGTCTTCCTGTTTCCCATCATCAGCGCGCGCTGCCCTAAATTCTACGAATTCCTCTCGTGCGATTTGAATATTCATGAGTTTTGACCGCAGCTTGAATCTGATTGGCGGGAAGGTTCAAAACATTGCGCACACGTCTCAGCGCTGATTGGGCGGCGAGGGGTGGAGTGGGCGTGGCCACTCAGAGTTTTATATATATATACAGAAGAAAACAGTAGTACGTGGGTTACAGTTTATCAACCGTTACAACCGGAAAGAAAATAACTTTAACCGTCATTTTCTGTCGTGGAACTGGATCGTAAAAGCGGGAAACGGCTGCGTCAGTCGGTGTAAACGGAACAAGGTTTAAGAGAGGAATTCAACCGGTAACAGGATGGATTTTATCGGCTTCAACTGACTGAAAGTGACAGAAAATGTTGGAGAAAAGATCTGCGGAGCTTCACCTGGTGGAGGAAGTCCGCGGGAAGAACGGTGAGACTCAGACCTGAACCCCTAAAGGTTCAATACGGCGGTTAATAACGGACACTTCACCTCCTACAGACTCTATTATCTCCATATTAACGGTTTATTAACTGTTGCTGCGCAGGCGCTCTGTTAGCTCCACCAGACTACATTCAAAAAATAACGAATTTAAGGATTAAACGACACAACCGTCGTTTTTGATGTGTTTCCATGGTTACTGAGTATTAGTTTTATTAACGGTTAAACGGAGATTTTTCAACCAAATACGGTTAAATAAATGTGGATAAAGTTGGAGCTGAAAGTAGAATAAAGTTTCTGTTTGTTTGTTTGACCTCCATTTTATTTCTAGTAAACAGCAGCAGACAGACAGACAGACAGACAGACAGACAGGAATAATGCACAGATACAATATAAGATAATAAATAATATACATTATAAATGATATATTGAGTGATTTATAGATATATATATATTTTAACAAATCTTCAGTTAATCTGAAATCAGACAGAATAATTCTACTTTATATATTTAATATTTTATTATTAATGCCTGTGACTGTAATTAACTTTATTAGTTGTATTAATGCAGTTTGCTTTGATGAATATCTTTAAAGGTTCTGACTGTAATGAATCGTTCTGTCTCTCAGTGAAGGAACCGTTCTCCTCTCAGTACAGCTGTGGTTCTCTGCTCGGCAGCGGCGGGTTCGGGTCCGTGTATTCGGGTCAGAGGCTCAGTGACGGACTGCAGGTGTGCAACCTTCTTTTTATTGTAGTGGAGTAAACTTAATTTCACCTGATATAAAAATAATATTACTTATAATTAAACTTCCAGCTTTTCTAAAGCTTCTATTTGAACATTTGGGAGATTCGGTTGAGAAGAATAAAACCCCCGTCCACGTTTTAAAATCTCTTTTTGTCCTTCCAGGTTGCCATCAAACAGATCTCCAGTGAGCGTGTGCAGCAGTGGGCCCGACTGGTGAGTACTGAACCTGTCAGTAATGAACCGGGTCAGAGCCGCCCTCTGCTGGACTCACAGGTGAACTGTGTGTGTGGGCGGGGCCGGCCCCGGTTCCCACGGAAACCTGTGATGTCATGGCTCAGTAAATGACCCTGCTGCAGGATTTCCCCTCATTTGATTATTGATCACACCCGGGAAATCCCCCCCCAGGAAAACACCTGCAGACGATGACTCATTACTAATAGCTGCTTATTCTCATATATAGGTTTACCGTCATTGATTATGTTATTGATTATCAGTATTGAAGTAAAATAAAGCTTTAATATCTTTAATAAATGATAATGAACCGTCTCTCTCTCTCTCTCCTCCCCCCTCAGCCCGGTGAGCTCGACCCCGTTCCCATGGAGATCGCTCTACTGCAGAGCCTGTCGGAGGTCGGAGGTCACGGCAGCATCATCCACATGCTGGACTGGTTTGAGGTGGAGGGGCGGGGCTTCCTGCTGGTGCTGGAGCGCCCGCCGCAGTGTCAGGACCTGTTCGACTTCATCACGGAGAGAGAGGCACTGCCCGAACGCCTCGCACTCAGGTAGCGCCTCCGAACGTCGGTCTGTCTGTTGTGGTCCGGTTCTGTTGGACCCGCCGGCGCTAACGTCCTCCCTGTGTGTGTGCGACAGGTTCTTCCGTCAGGTGGTGGAGGCGCTGCGGTTCCTCCACGCTCACGGCGTCGTCCACCGCGACATCAAGGACGAGAACATCGTGGTGGACACGAGGACGCTGGAGGTCAAGATCATCGATTTTGGATCCGGAGCGCCGCTGAAAGAGACGGCGTACAGCGAGTTCGAAGGTACGGATCATCTATTGATCATCTATTGATCATCTATTGATCAATAGAGATCAATCAGCAAGATTCTCTTACAATGACTGTAATCATTGTTGATACTGGCTAATAACACTCTCCTTCCTCCTCCTCCTCCTCCTCCTCCTCCTCAGGGACCCGGGTCTACAGTCCTCCTGAGTGGATCCAGTCTCAGTCCTACGAGGCGGTCCCGCTCACCGTCTGGTCTTTGGGGGTTCTGCTCTTCGACATGGTCTGTGGCGACATCCCGTTTGAGTGCGACCGGGAGATCGTCGGGGCCACGCCCATTTTCACCAGACGGGTCTCCAAAGGTGAGCAGAGGCCCCGCCCCCTGTGAGATCTGATTGGCTCAAATGAGGTCATGGTTTTAACCCCCCCCCTCTCTACCCAGAATGCCAGTCTCTGATCCGCTGGTGTCTGTCCTACCGCCCCGAGGAGCGCCCGACTCTGGAGGAGATCCTGTCCCACCCCTGGATGGAGGAGGAGGGAGACCTGCAGGAGGACCACAGCTCTCTACCCAGCCAGTCGCTGTGACCCCCCATCGTACAGGACTCTGTATGGACTCTGTTATTATCTGTTGGTGAACGCAGCCGGGTCGGCGGACATGTTTGATTTAGGTTATTTATTGAGTATTTATTTGGTTTAGGAGAAGAGACGTCGGAGGACTGTGGTTCCTCCGGATCCTGACACTAACATTATAATAGTGTCAGTGTTATTTCAATCTGACGTCTTACACTGCAAACACAGTCAGGTTACAACGGCGCCCCCTGCTGCTGTAAGTGTGAGCCTGCACCGGGTTCAACAGCCCCTCAATCAGATCAATCAGATCAATCACATGTGTCTCCTGTGCAGCGGTGGCGCCGTGTTTTAGACTTTCTGGACGTTTCAGTGATTCTCTACGAACATGTTGAAGTGTAACTTTAATAAAAGTGTAGAAAGTAAAAGTGAAAATGATTCACAGAGAAAGAAACAAAGTTCAGTCCGTTAGCGTAACGAGGATTATTGTTTAAAGATCGACGGATCTTTAGAAGAATCAAAATCCAACTTTTATTTTTATTCTTTCTGTTGAACAAAGTGAAGAAAGAAGAGTTCTGTGCCTTTCAGCTGTTTAATGAGCTGTTCCAGGAAGAGGAGCTGAAGAAGAGTCAGTCTCTGGTTGGATCTGGTTCGTGGTGATGTCACTGTAAATACTTGAGTATTATTGGTTGTTTATAATCAAAGTGGCTTGTCTGTCACTTGTTTATGTTTATTTACATTAAATAAGAATTTATGGATCGAGAGAAAAAGATCCAACGTTTGAATAAAATATTTTTTTCACTTATCATGTCTCTGATGTCACTGTATTACCCAGAATTCATAGTGTACATAAAGAAAATCTATAACTTTAAAAAACAAAGTTAAAGAGGCAAATTTACATGAATTAAATAAAACATTACAAATGAAAGAAACACTCATATTTTATATCTGTGGCCTGTTTAGATTCTACAATGGGTGAAATTCTATTTCTAAATGTTTGTTATCAAATTTAAAAAAACATCCAAAAGCAGTTAATTTGTAAACACATTAATGTCTAATTGTTATTAATGAATTATTCTCCACTAACTGATGAAGAGCTGTGGTTTCCAACATCATAAATAAACTTTGATGCTTTTATTTTCACATCAATGTTAAAATTATTCGTATAAACAGCAATATTTTCAAAATAAAATCTCTTCAAGACATTTAAAACCTGCAAATTACCAACCGATGGATTAGTGACGATTTCACTGCAGGTTGAATCACATTAAATGATATTAAATGATATTAAATGATACTGTAGGCTGATGTCACACACATATTGTATATAAGTTCTGTTGGTGTGAGTGTGATATATACTGTATAATATATATACAGTATATATACTGTATATATATTATACGTATATGTATATATTATACAGTTATATACTGTATAATATATATACAGTTATAATATATAATATATATATATACTGTATATATCATACAGAGACAAACAGCAGAGTGAGAGAGGTTGTTAATGTTCCTGGAGCTGCCTGCACACTCTGCACACAACCAACAGGGGGCGCTCAATCTGAACAACATCTGACAGGTGAGGGGTTCACCCAGCAGCCAATAGGATTCCTCCATGTTCAACCTGAAGGAGAACAAGGAAGTGACTGTCAGCAGCATCAAAGAGGAGGACGAGGAGGAGGTCTCACTCTGACTGTTTGTCCAGAGCTCCTCAACACATACCGTCTGTACACACACTATATTTAATTATACTTATACTTATTTATACTTTATTATACTTAATAATACTTAATAATACTTTATTATACTTTATTATACTTAATAATACTTAATAATACTTAATTATACTTAATTATACTTAATAATACTTTATTATACTTTATTATACTTAATAATACTTAATAATACTTTATTATACTTAATAATACTTAATAATACTTTATTATACTTTATTATACTTAATAATACTTAATTATACTTAATAATACTTTATTATACTTTATTATACTTAATAATACTTAATAATACTTATTTATACTTAATTATACTTAATAATACTTATTTATACTTTATTATACTTAATTATACTTAATAATACTTAATAATACTTTATTATACTTAATAATACTTATTTATACTTAATTATACTTAATAATACTTAATAATACTTTATTATACTTAATAATACTTTATTATACTTAATAATACTTTATTATACTTAATAATACTTTATTATACTTAATAATACTTAATAATACTGTCTGTACACACATTATACTTTGTCTAATGCTAAGAGTTAAATACAAACACACGTACATTTACTTTTTTACTTTTTAAAAACGGATCAATTAAATGTAATTATTTTATTTCATCCGTTTATCTGAACGTGTTCGATAAAAATTTAACTTCGGGTTGTTGTTTCTTTTTCAAGAATTTATTTTAGAAATAAATAGTAATTATGAGACTAAAATATCCAGAATTATACTGATGTATTTATTTAATTGTATTATTTTACTGTTGCTGTTTGATAATCTCCGTCGGAGTGATGCCTCCTGTCAGTGGGTCCTATCTCTGCAGCGGAACTTCACTTCCTGAACACCTCAGATCCTCCGCGGACTGTTTCCATCCCGGTGCTTCTCCCGGTGCTTCTCCCGGTGCTTCTCCCGGTGCTTCTCCCGGTGCTTCTCCCGGTGCTTCTCCCGGTGCTTCTCCCGGTGCTTCTCCCGGTGCTTCTCCCGGAGCTTCTCCCGGAGCTTCTCCCGGTGCTTCTCCCGGTGCTTCTCCAACCGCTGCCCCGGTCCAACATCTGCCCGACCGACCCGCGCTACCCCGAACCGCAGCCCGGAGGTCGGAGGTCCGGTCGGGTCTGAAGTGTGAGCCGGAGCTCGCCGGAGCTCGCCGGGAGGCAGCGGGGCGAAGGCTCGCTGTCGGCGGGCGGAGGGAGTGAGTATGGCCGGAGGGAACCACAGCCAGGCGGCGGAGGAGAGAGCAACGAGCCGGAGTCAGAGCGAAGGTATCCGGGGAGGGAGAGGTACCTTCACCGGGCCTCTGAGCGCGGGAAGCTGCTTCATCAGAGAGCCCGAGTGTTGATTAACCATTAACCATTAATCAATAATCAATAATCATTGATCTCTGTTGAGAATTTAACAGTTTATTTACGATAATGTTTCTTCCAGGTTGGCGAAGTTATGACCCGCCCTCCTCGGCCTCTGATTGGCTCACGCTGACATTCTTAACCAATCACAGCCCTCTTGCTTGAACCTAACCAATCACACCGATGGACGCAACGAGTACCAGCCAATCAGAGGCAGAGGAGGGCGGGTCCTAACGGCCAGCCTGTATCGGCTATCCTAGCTGCCGTTAGCTCGGAGAGCTTTATTATTTATAGAAGTTAACCAGGATGCTAACTAGCTAACTAGCGATATGTTAAACACCACTCCAGCTGTGTTATAAGGAAGGCTAGAACCCGGATGTAACTTAAACTGAGGGAAATTAACGTGGCATGCTAGCTGAGCTGGAGGCTAACGCACAATGCTAGGCTAACCTGCAGCTAATGCTAATGCTAATGCTAATGCTAACAGCTTCATTAAACGGTTAAAACACACCGTCACAGCTGGTGACGTGGAGGTCTGCAGGTAACACACACACCTTTATACACACACACACACACACACACACACACACCTTTATACACACACACACACCTTTATACACACACACACACACACACACCTTTATACACACACACACACACACACACCTTTATACACACACACACACACACACACCTTTATACACACACACACACACACACACCTTTATACACACACACACACACACACACCTTTATCACACACACACACACACACACACCTTTATCACACACACACACACACACACACACACACACACCTTTATACACACACACACACACACACACCTTTATCACACACACACACACACACACACCTTTATACACACACACACACACACACACCTTTATACACACACACACACACACCTTTATACACACACACACACCTTTATACACACACACACACACCTTTATACACACACACACACACACCTTTATACACACACACACACACACACACCTTTATACACACACACACACACACACACCTTTATACACACACACACACACACACACACACCTTTATACACACACACACACACACACACCTTTATACACACACACACACACCTTTATACACACACACACACACACACACACACACACACACACACACACACACAGTCAATAAAGTAATCAGATACTTTCCTGCAGTAAAGTACTCCATTACATTCACAGCATTAATTAAAGTTCTCCAGTAAGTGTAATATAATATTTATAGGTGTACGCTGCCCTCTGGTGGCCGACTGCAGGAACTACACTAACACTGTCTGAGTTCATTTAATGACTTTAACATCATAACCAATAATGTGACCTCTGCCCCGTAAAGTGTTTGTATCCCATAAATAGGCAGTGCAGTAACTACGGTAACATAAGATATGTTCCGTTATTGATCCCCGTAGGAGAGTCAGACACAGCAGCACAGTACAATAAGAATATTATAAAATATAATGAGTAATTATATATAATATAAAGTGATTGATGAGCGATTGATGGGCGACTGATGATTGATTGATGGGTGATTGATGAGCGACTGATGATTGATTGATGATTGATTGATGGGTGATTGATGAGCGACTGATGATTGATTGATGATTGATTGATGGGTGATGCTGAGTTCAGGTCTGACTTGTGTGTTTTGCCGCAGTGAACAAGAGGTTGAAGTACATCAGCCTGGCGGTGCTGGTGGTCCAGAATGCGTCACTCATCCTCAGCATCCGATACGTCCGCACGTTGCCGGGCGACCGCTTCTTCGCGACGTCGGCCGTCGTCATGGCGGAGGTCCTGAAGGTGCTGACATGTCTGCTCATCATCCTGCTGCAGAAGAGATGTGAGTGACTCTAATGAATGTTTGCTTTCAGGATGTTGTTCACAGAGAAACAGACATTTAGTTTAACTCACAGTCCAAAGGTTGAGCTCATGAATGTGTAGATAAATAGTGTTAATTAATAATGTTATTGATCCTGATGAGATTCAATGTTGAACCGTCGACTCGTCACAGGATGTGGTATTCCAGATAAACAGTAAAATATGTTTGTGAACAGATTTGAGGAGAGAAATAGTCAACAACAGAATCTGGATCCATATCTGATCAGTTTAGTAGTTATTCTGTGATTAATTATTATCTCTCTGATCTGTGTGTCTCACTGTTGAGTTATACAGTAACTGTCTCTCTCTCTGATCTGTGTGTCTCACTGTTGAGTTATACAGTAACTGTCTCTCTCTCTGATCTGTGTGTCTCACTGTTGAGTTATGCAGTAACTGTCTCTCTCTCTGCAGTCAGTGTGAAGGAGACGGCGTTCTTCCTGGTCGACTCCATCGTGTTTCAGTACAAAGACACTCTGAAACTGGCTGTTCCTTCGCTCATCTACACTCTGCAGAACAACCTGCAGTACATCGCCATCTCCAACCTGCCGGCCGCCACCTTCCAGGTCAGACTCACATCTTTATTTCTCTTAAAGCTTCAGTTCGGTTGCTGTTCTGTATTTTCTTCAGATCCAAACCAACAATGTGTTGAACCTGGTGTACCTCAGGGCTCAATGTTTGGTCCCCTGTTGTTCTTATTTACATACAAGGACTTAATTTTGATCTCAGAGGTGGGGGGGGGACACGTCCGTGCACACATACGCACATGGACACGGTTCAAACGTTAATGGAAATGAAATTAAATTAAACCTCTGCTATTACAATCCTTTTAGCTGACGTGACCCAGGCTGAACAGAATCAGAATTTTGTTTATTGCCAAGTAGGTTTTTACGCCTACGAGGAACGTGACCTGGTGCAGTTGGTGCATAAAATATACACATATACAAATATACAATTATTCAAATCACACAAAAATCACACAGAAAATACATAGATAAAGATAAGAAGAGAAAGAGAAAGCTGTGCAGAAGAACGTGGGTGCATTAATGTAATGCATACTTTATATACAGGGTGGGTATAAGAGTCAATGACAGTGGGTAATCCGGGCCTTATTAAGGAGGCCAGCTGCCGACGGGAAGAAACTGTTTTTATGGCGAGACGTTTTAGTCCTGATGGACCGCAGCCTCCTGCCAGAGGAAAGTATCTCAAACAGATTGTGACCGGGGTGGGAGGGGTCAGCCACAATCTTACCTGCACGCTTCCTGGTCCTAGAGGCGTACAGGTCCTGGAGGGATGGCAGATTGCAGCCGATCACCTTCTCAGCTGATCGAATGATACGCTGCAGTCTGCCCTTGTCCTTGGCAGTGGCAGCAGCGTACCAGATGGTGATGGATGAGGTGAGGATGGACTCGATGATGGCAGTGTAGAAGTGCACCATCATTGTCTTTGGCAGGTTGAACTTCTTCAGCTGCCGCAGGAAGTATATCCTCTGCTGGGCTTTCTTGGTGAGGGAGCTGATGTTCAGCTCCCACTTGAGGTCCTGGGTGATAATGGTACCCAGAAAGCGAAAGGACTCCACAGAGTCAACTGGGGAGTCACACAGGATGATGGGGCGGATGGGGCTGTTGGCTCTGTAGGCGAACTGCAGGGGGTCCAGGAGAGGGTCCGTCTTGAAGAGTCTGTTGACGTCCCTCTCTTGGAGGCAAAGAGTCGTCGCTGTGGTGGAGGAGGAGGGATTCACAGAGGTGTGAAGCTGTGAAGTAGCCCCAGCTCCTGCTGGGCTGGGGGGGGACTGGTGAGGTGAGGTGGGGCTGGTGAGGGGTGTCACGGGGGATGGTGTCAGGACTGCTCCTTTGTCTGTCGAAGCGGCAGTAGAACTCATTCAGCTCGTTTGCCACGCACAGATCATTGATGGAGTGAGGGGTTTTGGGCTTGTAGTTAGTTATCTGTCTGAGCCCCTTCCAGACAGAACCAGAGTCGTTGGCTGAGAACTGGTGTTGAAGTTTCTCAGAGTACTGACGTTTAGCTTCTCTCACCGCCTTGCTAAACTTGTACTTAGACTCCTTAAACTTGTCCCTGTCCCCACTCCTGAACGCTTGCTCCTTCTGCAACCGTAGTTGAATGAGTTTGGCTGTGAACCAGGGTTTGTGGTTGTTGTAACTCACCCTGGTGCGTGATGGTACACAGCAGTCCTCACAGAAGCTGATATATGATGTCACAGCCTCTGTGTACTCATCCAGACTGTTAGTAGCAGTCCTGAACACATCCCAGTCAGTAGAGTCCAAGCACGCCTGGAGATCCTCCACAGCTTCACTGGTCCACTGCTTTGATGTCCTCACAACAGGTTTGCAGAGCTTTAATTTCTGCCTGTATGAGGGAATCAGGTGGACCATGACGTGGTCAGAGAGGCCCAGTGCGGCGCGGGGGACGGCGTGATAAGCTCCTGGGACTCCTGGGCAACTAGCAGACCGGTGTGCAAGCAAGATGGAGTGACAGCGGGGACGGCCAATCACACAAGAAATGGCAGAGCCAATCGAGGAGCTTGTGGGCGGGTCTAAACTAAGGGAAACAGGCTTCAGCTTGAGGAGCCGTTTTCCGCTTGGTCCTAGTGCTTGACGAGTCACATTGTTTCTGGACGGTAAATACAGCAGGGGACCAAAACGGCCTTTTGAAAAATTGGCCCTGTGTCCCCCCCCAATTGTGTCCGTGTTTACATCAATGATCCACTGAATGTTCATACACTGACATCTGATATTTTATAGTATATTTCACAGAAACCTTAAAGTGTCCGTCTGTCTGTTGTTCATGTTTACACTCAAACAACAACATGTTAGTCCGTCTCTCAACACTGTCTCACTTCCTGTTTGTGGCTCTCAGCTCTCAGCTCTTTAAAATAAATAAATAGTTTCATGTTGAAATGCTCACTGTAGTTTTTATCAAACAGGAGGAAACAACGTTTAATTATTCAATTCAATTCAATTCAATTCAATTTTATTTGTATAGCGCCAATTCATAACAGAAGTTATCTCAGGACACTTTTCAAATAGAGCAGGTCTAGACCGAACTCTTTAACATTAATTACAGAGACCCAACAGTACCACCATGAGCAAGCACTTGGCGACAAGGGCAAGGAAACACTGCCTGTTAAAAGGCAGAAACCTAGGACAGATCCTTCGGCTCTAGGTGGGTGGTCGTCTGTCTCGACCAGTTGGGGAGTGAGTGAGTGAGTGAGAGAGAGAGAGACACAGACAGACAGACAGACAGACAGACAGACAGACAGACGCACGCACAGCAACAACAGTATTGGCAATGGCAGTCAAGCAGGACCATGGCAGGAGGCTCCACCAGGATCCATGAGAACCTGCGAGACGAGAAAGCACAAGAACTCCGGGGAAGAAGTGGAGTTAGTAACATGCATTAAAGGGACATGAATGAGTGCAGAAAGAGAGAGGAAGAGAGTAGCTCAGTGCACCATGGGAAATCCCCCGATAGTCTAGGCCTATAGCAGCATAACTAAGGGATGGTTCAAGACTCACCTGATCCAGCCCTAACTATAAGCTTTATCAAAGAGGAATGTCTTAAGCCTACTCTTGAATGTGGTGAGGGTGTCTGCCTCCCGAACCACAACTGGAAGCTGGTTCCACAGGAGAGGAGCTTGGTAGCTGAAGGCTCTGGCTCCTGTTCTACTTTTAGAGACTATAGGAACCACAAGTAGCCCACCATTCAGAGAACGTAGTGTTCTAGTGGGGTAATAGGGTACTATGAGCTCTTTAAGATATGAAGGGGCCTGACCATGAAGAGCTTTATAGGTGAGGAGGAGGATTTTAAATTCAATTCTACATTTTATAGGGAGCCAATGCAGAGTAGCTAGTACAGGAGAGATGTGATCTCTTTTTCTAGTTCCTGTCAGTACTCGTGCTGCAGCGTTCTGAATTAATTGGAGCGTTTTAATGGACTTATTGGGGCAACCTGATAATAAAGAGTTGCAGTAATCCAGCCTTGAAGTAACAAATGCATGGATTAGTTTTTCTGCATCTGTCTGTGATAGTATGTGTCTAATTTTTCTAATATTACGTAAATGAAAGAAGGCAGTCCTAGAGGTCTGCTTTATGTGGGAGTTAAATGACAAATCCTGATCAAAGATAACTCCAAGATTCCTGACAGTGGTGCTAGAGGCCAAGTTAATGCCATCTAGAGTGACTATATCTTTAGACAGTGAGTCTCTAAAGTTTTTGGGGCCAAGAACAAGAATTTCGTTTTCTGAGTTTAACATCAGAAAATTGCAGGTCATCCAGGATTTTATGTCCTTAAGACATGTTTGTAATTTAGATAATTGATTAATTTCATTGGGTTTGATTGATAGATATAACTGCGTATCATCTGCATAACAGTGAAAGTTAATGGAGTGATTCCTAATAATGTTGCCTAAAGGGAGCATATATAAAGTAAATAGTATTGGTCCAAGTACAGAACCTTGTGGAACTCCATGACTAACTTTAGTATTTATGGAGGATTCATCGTTAACATGTACAAACTGCGAGCGATCTGATAAATATGACTTAAACCAGCTTAGTGCGGTTCCTTTAATGCCAATTTGATGCTCAAGTCTCTGGTAAAGAATATCATGGTCAATGGTGTCAAATGCAGCACTAAGATCTAATAATACAAGTACAGAGACAAGTCCATTGTCAGAAGCAGTCAGAAGGTCATTTTTAACTTTAACCAGAGCTGTCTCTGTGCAATGATGAACTCTAAATCCTGACTGAAAATCCTCAAATAAACTATTGTTATGTAGAAAGTCACACAACTCTTTGGCGACTACTTTCTCCAGAATCTTAGAGAGGAAGGGTAGGTTAGAAATCGGTCTATAGTTGGCTAAAACCCCTGGGTCAAGAGTGGACTTTTTAAGAAGGGGTTTAATTACAGCTACTTTAAAGGACTGTGGTACATATCCTGATAATAAAGAAAGATTAATCATATCCAGTAAAGAAGTGCCAATTAAGGGAACAACTTCTTTAAGCAGCCTAGTTGGGATCGGGTCTAACAGACAGGTTGATGGCTTCGATGAAGAAATGATTGAAGTTAACTGATGAAGATCGATAGCAGAAAAACAGTCTAAATATATGTCTAAGTTTACATTTACAGAAGTCCCTGAACTTGGAGAGCCACTGATAACTGTTGATGGCAGTTGGTGATTAATTTTTTCTCTAATAGTAATAATTTTATTATAGAAGAAGCTCATGAAGTCCTTGCTACTTAAGTTTATGGGGATATGTGGCTCAATAGAGCTGTGACTCTCTGTCAGCCTGGCTACAGTGCTGAAGAGGAACCTAGGGTTATTCTTATTTTCTTCTATTAGTGCTGAGTAATAGGCTCCTCTGGCATTACGGAGGGCCTTTCTATAAATCTTAAGATCATCTTGCCAATTTGAGCGATATTCTGATAATTTGGAAGAGCGCCATTTCCTTTCAGATTTCCTAGCTATTTGCTTTAACTGGCGGGTTTGGTGGTTATACCAAGGTGCTAGTCTCCTATGTTTTAATAATTTCCTTTTTATAGGAGCGATAGAGTCTAATGTTGATCGTAGCGTCAATTTCAGAGGGACTAAAGTCATTATAGGACTCTGTTAAATTCTTATTTACACTAATATGGCCGAAATATTCACACAAAGTAAAACTCACCAAAACCACCAGAACCTGAACCTGAGTCAGTACGAGACAAATTACAAAGAAACAAACTCGTTGTTCCGTAGTAAGATCAATATATCAGCGATGATGATGATGTTGATGATGATGTTGATGATGATGGTGTTGATGATGATGTTGATGATGATGATGATGATGATGATGATGATGATGATGATGATGATGTTGATGATGATGATGATGATGATGATGTTGATGATGATGTTGTTGATGATGATGATGATGATGATGATGTTCCAGGTGACGTACCAGCTGAAGATCCTCACCACGGCGCTGTTCAGTGTGCTGATGTTGAGGAAGTCTCTGTCGAGGGTCCAGTGGGTTTCTCTGCTGCTGCTGTTTGCTGGAGTCGCCATCGTACAGGTAAGGTCATCGCCACCTTCATCGCCGACTGTCTGACGGAGCGTCGATTCAAAAGCAGGAAACGCAGCGAGTCCTCCATTAATTCATGAGCAAAATAGTTGCCTGTTAATTTCCTGTGGATTGATTAACATGTGATTGATTGTACAGTTACCATGGTTACGACACAGCGTGGTAAATAAAATGGATGCTCTCTCTCTCAGGTGCAGCAGGAGGGGAAGAAGGAGGCGTCGGTGTCGGACGGCTCCAATCAGAACTACACGGTCGGTCTGGTCGCCGTGGTGATCAGCTGCCTGTCATCGGGGTTCGCCGGCGTTTACTTTGAGAAGATCCTGAAGGGGAGCTCGGCGTCCGTCTGGGTGAGGAACGTCCAGCTGGGGATCTTCGGCACGGTGCTCGGCATGCTGGGATTGTGGTGGAACGACGGCGCCGCCATCGCCGAGCACGGCTTCCTGTTCGGCTACACCGACATGGTGTGGTGTGTGATCTTCAACCAGGCGTTCGGCGGGCTGCTGGTGGCCGTGGTGGTGAAGTACGCCGACAACATCCTGAAGGGCTTCGCCACCTCCTTCTCCATCATCGTCTCCACGGTGATGTCCATCTACCTGTTTGGCTTCCATGTGGACCTGCTCTTCACAGCGGGGGCGGGGCTCGTCATCGGCGCCGTCTACATGTACAGCCTCCCTAAAGCGCCCGGCTCTTCATCCCCGGGCTCCTCCTCGTCTTCCTCTGTGTCTTCGGCATCGCCGAGGACGGACGGAGGCGGCGAGATGGAGGCGTTTCTGCCAAAGTCAGTGCTGGTGAAGTGACCTCCTCTCTCTCTCTCTCTCGCTCTCTCTGTGGCGTCCTGGTGCTCACTTCCTGTCTGCTCTGGGCGGGGTCAAACTGAGCTTCATCTGCTTGCTCTCTCACCTGCTGTCTGCAAAGCTCTCTCGCCCTCTGGTGGACCTCCTCCTGCTCCTCTCCCTCCTCACCTCCTGAGTGCAGCTCCTCAGCACGGTGGAGAAAACGAGGAGATGCTTTATTTTCCTTCTCATCTTCCTTCCAGCTCTGCTCTCCTCCAGCTCCTCCAGCTCTGCTCTCCTCCTGCTCCTCCAGCTCTGCTCTCCTCCAGCTCTGCTCTCCTCCTGCTCCTCCAGCTCTGCTATCCTCCAGCTCTGCTCTCCTCCAGCTCTGCTCTCCTCCTGCTCCTCCAGCTCTGCTATCCTCCAGCTCTGCTCTCCTCCTGCTCCTCCAGCTCTCCTCTCCTCCAGCTCTGTTCTCCTCCAGCTCCTCCAGTTCCTGAAGAAAAAAAACCTCCTCTCCTCCGTTTTCTTCCTCCTGTGATAAAAAGGAGAACTGAGGAGTTGGTGACCTCCTCAGAGCTTGAAAGTAACATTTGGTTTGAGACGCAGAGGAGAGCAGAGACTTGCTCCTCCTCCTCCTCCTCCTCCTCCTCCTCCACTGCTTTCCTGCTGCTCCGCTGTAACTCTGCTCCTCTGCTCGAGGAGGAGGAAGAGGAGGTGAGGAAGGAGCTCCTAACGTCTGGTTTTAACTCTGCTTTTCCTCCTGAACACTAACCTCTCCTCTCTCCTACCCCCCTCCACCTCAGAGCTCAGGGAGGAGTCGTGTCTCCTCCCCCTGCCGCCAACGTCACAGACTAACTGCTGAAAGCACAACAGCAGGAGGAGGAGGAGGAGGAGGAGCATCTCAGAGACCCTGACCACCAGCTGTCTGTCTGTCTGTCTGTCTGTCTGTCTGTCTGTCTGTCTGTCTGTCTGTCTGTCTGTCTGTCTGTCTGTCGCCCTCTCTGCCTTAAAACTCTTTACTTTACTAACTGAATGAACAGAGAAGCCTTATGCTGATTCAGATATTGATGATGGTTCCTGCAGGAGGAGAATCTGCAGTTTGATCTGATCGAATGTTTTCACTGAGCAGCGTCTACAACCTCCGACCTTTATCTCCAGCAGTAATTGATCCGTTAGTTTAAACCTACAGTGTTTCTGCCACTGGGGGGCCTCTGACATCCCATCATTAACAGCAACAGGAAGTGTGATGAGGTGGTGAAGCAGCGTGGGATCATGGGAGTTGTTGTCTTCACCACCATTGGCGTCATTGCAGTCAGCTTCTCCCGGTTAGGATTCCTTCAGTGTTCATGGTTCAGGAGGTTTCTACCGGGAGCCCAATGATCCACAGAGGTCTCCTCCTCTCCAACACAAACAGACCCGCTGATTAAAACCACTAAACACACTGAATAAAGCAGTTCCACCTTAAACACACTGAATAAAGCAGTTCCACCTTAACAATCACTGCTTCTCCCACGCTGTTGGACAGACAAAGGACGTCCCGGAGGGGCTGCGAGCCGAGCTGCTGCTAACGTTAGCTCAGGGAACAGCGTGGCTGCGCAGTGAAAACGTCTCTCAGCTCAAACGCAGTTTCCTGTCGGTGGCGGTTTGTGTTCGGTGCCTTTTCTTCTCATCTGTACAGAAGCCATATGATTGTGTTGGTGTTAGCAGTTAGCGGTGTAGCTCCCGTCTCATCGCACAGACGCTGAGCTTCAGTTGGAGAAGCTGTCGGTGAGACGAGCTGAGCGGGAACGTGCTCGTTGATTGGAGCACCTTTTAATTAAATCATAATAATCCTCAACGTGGCGTCTGGGTGAGGAAGACGACCTGCTGCAGGCGTCTGGGTGAGGAAGACGACCTGCTGCAGGCGTCTGGGTGAGGAAGACGACCTGCTGCTGCAGGCGTCTGGGTGAGGAAGACGACCTGCTGCAGGCGTCTGGGTGAGGAAGACGACCTGCTGCTGCAGGCGTCTGGGTGAGGAGACGACCTGCTGCTGCAGGCGTCTGGGTGAGGAAGACGACCTGCTGCAGGCGTCTGGGTGAGGAAGACGCCCTGCTGCAGGCGTCTGGGTGAGGAAGACGACCTGCTGCAGGCGTCTGGGTGAGGAAGACGACCTGCTGCAGGCGTCTGGGTGAGGAAGACGACCTGCTGCTGCAGGCGTCTGGGTGAGGAAGACGACCTGCTGCAGGCGTCTGGGTGAGGAAGCGACCTGCTGCTGCAGGCGTCTGGGTGAGGAAGACGACCTGCTGCTGCAGGCGTCTGGGTGAGGAAGACGACCTGCTGCAGGCGTCTGGGTGAGGAAGACGCCCTGCTGCAGGCGTCTGGGTGAGGAAGACGCCCTGCTGCTGCAGGCGTCTGGGTGAGGAAGACGACCTGCTGCAGGCGTCTGGGTGAGGAAGACGACCTGCTGCTGCAGGCGTCTGGGTGAGGAAGACGACCTGCTGCTGCAGGCGTCTGGGTGAGGAGACGACCTGCTGCAGGCGTTGGGTGAGGAGCGCCTGCTGCAGGCGTCTGGGTGAGGAGCGCCCTGCTGCGGCGTCTGGGTGAGGAAGCGCCGCTGCAGGCGTCTGGGTGAGGAAGCGACCTGCTGCAGGCGTCTGGGTGAGGAAGACGCCCTGCTGCAGGCGTCTGGGTGAGGAAGACGACCTGCTGCAGGCGTCTGGGTGAGGAAGACGACCTGCTGCAGGCGTCTGGTTGTGTTTCTGTGGCTGCGTGTTGACGGCGAGTCGGTGGATGAAGGTCGGCGGAGCTGCTTCTCGGTGTTTGCGTTGCCGTGTCTTTGGGACGAAGCGGTTTGTAGTTTCTGTCGTCAGATCGCTGCCGGAGGTCGACGCCTCTCCACCAACAGCTGTTTCTACAATCTGCTAATTAACCCTTCATAAGCCCCGCCCCCTTTGGCTCTGTGCTCCAATCACAGCTGAGCAAGCAGTCAGAACCTCGGTTTACTTCCTGCCTTTCCTGTATGTAGATATGCTACGTGCTAGGCTAATCTGTGTTGAAAAGTTAGCTAGCTAATGTTAGCTAACTTCAATCGTCAGCCCGCTAGTTAGCTAGTTAGCTAGCCAGACTACATCCATCATTGGTTAGCTAGTTACGTCTGAAATCTAATGTTAGCTAACTTAAAGTGCGACTGTATAAATGTATTTTATCTTTTAACATCTTAAAATGTCTTTCCAACATAGATTAGCTTAGCATGTAGCATATCTAAGCAGGAAGTTGACTGAGGTCAGAACAAAAGGGGGCGGGGCTTATGAAGATCCATACTTAGTCCCAAAGAACAGATGATTTTTCTGTTGAGTAATTGGTTCATAAAGTGTCACATGAGCCAACATGATGAAGTCGACTCACCCGTTTCCTCCTGAAGTGTAAAACTACGTTTCCATAGATTTTGTTTTATCGTCAGAAACTGTGAAAGGAGAACAAAGAGAAAACATCTTTTTATTATTTTCTGTTTTTGTAAAAAAAGAAACTCATCCAGCGACAGTTTGTGTCTTTTGGGGACTTTATATTAATATATCAGTTTTATTTAAGGTGGGGATGAATGGATGGCTTATTGATCTTACGGTTTATTGATCTGTTATTTGGGTGGTGGTGAACGAGGAGGTCGCTCCAGTTTCGACCAATCAGAGCTGCTGTTTGTGTGATAAAGTTTCCGCTGAGATTTTTGGATTCAACATTTCTACGGAAGCCGAGAGCGGTCGAGATGAGACAGATTATCTCATATGTAAGTTAATTATCTTGCTCATAACAATCACATTAATAATATTGCAGAGTTTAGTTTTCTCATTCGTTATCTCGAGAAAACAACAAACAGTTCAGTTATGATGGTTTCTCTATTAAATGAATGTATCACTGAGATAACAGGATAAAATATCTTCTCTCAAAATAATCCAGAAAACATTCAGTTTCACTGGAAAACCAAAAGTGAACTTTTTCTACATTGGGAACTATGGATCTGTGAATAAGATCTTGTGACAATAAAAGGTTTATTGATAATTATCCTGTTATAGAAAATGAACGTTACTGAGATAACGAGACATCGGTGCTACGACAATATCAAACTATCAGAATTATTTTATTTGCAGGAAACTACATTTTGTTTTTCTAATGAAAGCAAAGTATTTATCTTGTTACGTTGAGTGTAATCATGTAAGAATATCAAGATTATACATTTATTTTTTTAAATATTTTGCGTCTGACGATAATAAAAATCTCTATGTTGAGATAACGAGACATTTACCTGAAAACAAGTTCTCCAATAATACAACATATTTAATACTTTATTTAAGATCTTACAGACAGAAGTTCATTATCTCGAGATAACGATGGAATAACTAGATAACAGAATAAAAACTGTAACTATGGCTTCTCTCAGCTTCCGTAGATTAGAGTTCATTAATCTGTAAAATGTTTTGTTTTTGCTGTTGTTATTAAAACCAAATATTAAGAATGAAAAACAACTAAAATGAGCAGCTGAATATAAAGATGAAGTTTATTTTTTGTCGCACAGATTTTGAGATTTTTTTCCAAAAACAAATTGACATTAAAAATAACAAAATAATCTTAATTTAAAATGAATATTTGTACCAAACTGTATGAATTCTATATAATGCACAGTTTCTGATTGATCTGTTCATTAGCTACAGCTGGAGCGCCACCTGCTGGAAGTTTAAAAGTAATCCTGTAAGATTCACTTAAACGAATCCTTCAGGACTGTTGGAAGTCTCATGAGATCCATCAGGATTCGATCCTCATCGGTTCATCCGGGTGGAGAATCATCCAATAGGATTCTTTTAAACTTCCTCTTTTGGTTTCATTACCAATCTGTTAGTTTGCACTTGATTGTTGACTTGTACCAATGCCTCTGAATTTGTACATACTTCTTTTGGTAAAGTTTTATATAAACAAGGACATGGACTCAAAACCTCTGGAGTTTGTCTTAATTTGTAGGTAAATTATATTAAAACAATATTACAGGATGTTGATGTTCGGTACCTTCAGCAGTGTCGAGAATAACTTTTAAAGAGTCAAAAGTCAGTCATAATATTACAGAAGTTGTAATATTTTAAAATTACAGGTTTCCCCATTGATATAATAATTAATATTTATTCCAGCTGTATCCCAGAAAGTTTCCACAACAACTGACCAGAAAACTGAGAAACAACTGTGTCCATTTTAAAATAAACACACTTCTGAACTTCCTTACAAATATGCAGGAAAACCCTCGACTAACAATCCCAGCAAAACCTTTCTAACCGTCGATATAAACCATCCACAGATATAAAGATGGCCCTGACACCTCCAGAGTTTCCTCTATGTTGATTTTGGAGCGGCGGCCCACTGCTGTTAAATTTCTGCCGCCACGGTATCAGAAATGGGGCAGACGCACAATGTAGTCCCGGTTGCCTTTTAAATGATCCTGCCGACATAATGCCCCCCCGCTGGCTGCCGCTCACAGTGCAGTTTAACAACAAGTAGAACTACTCAGAGGTTATTGGGGCGGTCCAGGTGAACTCCACATTCGGACAGGCCTGCCCCCACTACTAAAAAAAATCCTAGAGGAAACACTGACCTCGGTACCGCGGCACCGATCCCGATCTCTCCTGCAGACTCCGAGTGGAGGAAGAGGGCAGCGATCGTATCCTGATAATCTGGTTCATTAGTACAGTGGGAGGAAGTGGGGACGGCGGCCATCTTTATATGTAGATGATTTAAACTCACAAACTAACCTTCTGATTCGTGGAGCTGATCAGCAGTTTCCTGCTTTTATTTAATATAAAACTGAAATATGACATTAAAGCATTTTTATTGAAATGTTTTGACGGCTCTGTTTTCACTATTGGGAGCAGATGTTTCTTTAAATGGTTTATTTGGCACACAGGGGACATTTAATCCTTAAACCCCCCGGCAGTATTCCCCGCTGGGTCCCGTGTTGCGGATCCTTTTATCATTTAAATCAACGGTGCGTCCACGATCAGGGCTAGTTACAGCGATGGCGTTCGTCATGTGATGCACATGGACTCAAAGTCACAACTCCTCAATGTTTGATCCATTCAGTCCGATAACATTTTTAAAGTCTTGAAGAGTCGTAACATTAAATCATTTTATCTCCATTCAAGTTTGCGGAGGGCTAAACAGGAAGTTAGCAGCTAGAGCGCTGGCTCTTTGGGATGCAGAAGATCTGAGTAATCTGTTGAGTTCTTTTAGCTTCATGCATCACTGAGCAGCTTCCAGCTTCCGTCCACCTCCAACACTGTATCCACTTTATACGTCCATGAGTGGACCCAGAGAGCGAGCCCTACTGCACATGTGCAGGAAGCTCACTAATGACCTGAACAACAGGAAGTGGAACAAATAAACAATCAATATCAAGTTGTAATAAAGAATTAAACAGTTAATTTCTGCCTCAACAGGTGAAACAATATAAACTCACAACTGTTGCATCTGTTCAGTCAGGCTTGGGGAGTAATGGATTACATGTAACTCAAAGGGTACAAACAGGTTAACTGTTTCAGGTACAGAAAACAAGTTGTAATCAGATTACAGTTACATGTAGTAAACATGGTTATTAGGATTATAGTTTAAAAACAGGTTTTGAAATAGAGAACGATTCACATCCGTTCACATTACGACACTGAAACCAAACTCCTCTCCCAGTTTGGAGTGTTTATAATTTACAGGGAATAAAGTCCTCCAACTCTAACGTTGCACAACTGATGGAAATATTATTATTATTATTATTATTATTATTATTATGGAGTTCCAGTTTGTTTGATAAAGATAAAATGTGTGACAAACAGCAGACAAATACACAGTGAAAGAAATCTGTAATCTGTAAGTTTAAACTTTCCTTCCTTACAGATTCTTTTGTATTTTTTAAATACATAGAAATATTAATAAAATTACAAAAATATCCTGTGAATTTACATGTTTAATGTAAAATAATCTGTAACTGTAAATAATCACAAAATTATTGCTTATTTAAAGAAAATACATTTGCAAATCTATCATTTTTATTCACTGTTTAACTGATGAAACTGGTAAATCCAAGTTTAATTACTGTTAATACAATAATTAATACAAGTAAAAATGTAATGTGTAATTTTAATGTATTAGTTAGTGAACTGACAGATATGTTGTATAATGATGGAAGTTGAATAAATGTTGTTATCAGAGCATTGGTAAACTGTCCAAATACAGTTGTTATCAGTGTAAACAGCAATAATTACTGTAATCTCACAGATAATGACTTTTATTACACTTCTATAACTTTTAACATTCACATTAAAATAATAACAATCCAATAATAACAGCACTCTGCTGTAAATGTAAGTCTGATTATTGTATTATAGCAGAGTTCACCTGGATTTATAGATCATTGTTTTACACTAAATATCATTAGTTAAACAAAATTACACAAGATTTTATGTAAAAAAAACAACTTTTAATTGTAGAAATTACTGTATTTTTAGGAGTCAGTTATTTTCTGTTATTTTACTGTATTGTTTCGCGCTGCTGGAATATTAATATTAACTTTTTTTTAGTGTCTAGCTGTAAAGATACAGCGACTCACATTGAGCCTCCAAACAATTGATTTTATTTTCTCTGGAACAAATAGGCTTTGATTTTTAATGAAAACAAAATTCACAACAATTTTGTTTTTGCACTTTTATTGTGAAAAAAAAATCCCTAAAAACATGAGAACATGCAACATGAGACATTTTAGGCCACAAGAATAAAAACAGCCCATGAAATCCTGCAGCGACGGATTATTTTATCTTTAAAGCAGAAAAAGGAACAATATCACAGAACAGAGTTGATTGGTTGCTGCAACAGAGTATTAGGGCCAGAAAATTTGGAAATTACAGGAATAAAGTCATAACATTATGAAAATAAAGTCGTAACATTACAATAGTAAAGTAGTAATTTTATGAGAACTGTCAGCCTGTTGGCTCAGCCAGCAAAACTGTTTAACAAGAATGATCAGGCTGCTGTTGGGTTGAGCTGCTCACGTCAGATCTTGATAACTCTATCAAAGCTTTTTTCTCATTAAGACCACTTTTATTCTCGTATTATTACGACTTTATTCTCGTATTATTACGACTTTATTCTCGTATTATTACGACTTTATTCTCGTATTATTATGACTTTATTCTCGTATTATTACGACTTTATTCTCGTATTATTACGACTTTATTCTCGTATTATTATGACTTTATTCTTGTAATATTACGACTGTATTCTCGTAATTTCCCCCCCAAAAAGTTCTTAGTTTGGCCCTAATACTCCGTCGTAAGTTTCCATTTGCTTTTCTAAGGTTATTTTGTGTTACTGAATAAGTAAAACTCATTTTATTGATATTTATTTTTTTACATATTTGGTGTTTAGGTAATCCAAAACCAACAAAGTAATCCAGTTACTTTAGTATTGCGACACGTGTGTGAATTAAGACAAATAGAAAATCTGAAGTTTAACAACTTTAATGATTATTGTCACTGCGTGTCCTCCATAAAGTTCTTGGATCCTATATTTCCCATAATGCAATTTCTCCAATTAGGAATAAAAATAACATATATAAGTATTCAGATTCTTTACGACAGTAAAAGTATTAATATAACAGTAAAAATACTCAGTTACTTCAGAAACAGTCTGAATAACTGAGTAACTCAGTTCAAGTATTAAACTGTTATATCTGATATCATTGATTATTCTAACTCATTAATGTTGGACCTCATAACTATTGATCATTTTCATTATGGATTCATCTACTGGTTATTGATACATTGATCAACTGAGTGATTGTAAAAATAGATTAAATGACATCACAGTTACCCAGATGTATGGACTCATTGATTAATGGACTCATTGATTAATGGACTCACTGATTAATGAACTCATTGATTAATTATTAATGGACTCATTGATTAATGGACTCATTGATTAATGGACTCACTGATTAATGGACTCACTGATTAATGGACTCATTGATTAATGGACTCACTGATTAATGGACTCATTGATTAATGGACTCACTGATTAATGGACTCATTGATTAATGGACTCACTGATTAATGGACTCATTGATTAATGGACTCATTGATTAATGGACTCATTGATTAATGGACTGATGGTTTCAGCTGTAAAAACAGCAGCAGACTATATTAATGACGAATCAGAACCAGAACCAGAACCAAGACCAGGACACTGAGATGTGATGTGAGTCGGGTTCAGGCGGTCTAACCTCCTCTCTTCTTCTCTGCTTTTTCTGTCCTCCAGGTGTGCAGGTAAAGAAAAAGGATCCTGAGTGACAGACGGACAAACTGCTGCCTACTTCCTGTTTGTGCTGCTTCAGTCCAACCACAGTATTATTATGGTACTTATAGTCTGACATTTACACATCAACAGTCTGACACCGCAGCACTATTAAATACACATATTATTATTATAATATATACATACACCGGTGTGTGTATATATATATATATATATATATAAGTACGGAGGCCCTCAGGGGACATGAAGAAGAAAAATATACTTGTGTTTCCCTGAGAGTATTTCTGGGCTCCACACTACAACTATGTGTTATTGTATTACCCCCTTTTTTTTTTGTATTTCCATCTTGATTTTCTTTGATTTGAGTATTTTTATGTTTTATCTTTGTTTATTTTATTGTATTTGTTTTTAATACATGTTCATACATTTCAAAATAAAAGCCCATATTTATTATTAAACCAAAAGGTATGTGTAACACTTTCACACTATTTAGTGAATATTTGTGTTAAAGGAGAAAGTGTGTAACACTAAAGTGCCTCAGAGCAAGGCAGCGAAAGCAACCTGCTCACAACTGAATTTCATTTAAAGGGAAAATCAACCTGAAGTGACCTTTTATTGTGAAAGTCTCCTCCTCAGCTGTTGTGAATTTTTGATATAAAACGATGTATTCTTTGTATTTTCTCGTCAGAACACTTTGTGTCATTAAGCTTTAACATAAAGTGAAGATTTTCTGATTAAACTGTAAATGTTCTGACACATTAAAGTGGAGTCTGTTCTCATAAGAACCTTAAAGATCATTCTGTTGATCAATGTTCAGACTGAAAACTGTCCTCTGCATACAAACTAAACAGTTACACAGATTAATGAAACAGTTTCTGACTAACTGAAGATCTCTGAAATGAAACACAAACTGGAAGTTTCTTTTCATTTCTCACACTGACTGAACAGAAATCAATTCGTTCCCAGTTGAACCAGAATAAAGCTCCAGTCAGACAGGATGAACATCACAGGAGGTGGAGAATTAAATCTCCATTGACCTCAGTGACTGAACTCCTTGCTCAGGACTCATTTATAAACGCTGCGTACGCACAGAAGAAGGCCAACAATGCCACCTTCCAAGCTAACTTTGGGATTCATAAATGAAAAACTTGACGGGAGAACGTGCGGTCCTTCATGGAAACTCTGAGCCATGTGTTCACTCAGAAACTGGAGAAATGAGAAAGTGGCAGCAGGATGAAATACGAGAAACAAGCTGAAACTGATTTCACTGTCAAATAAATCATCATATATGAAGAGTTTCTTCTTACAGTGAATAAACAGCTGATTGATTGATACCTTCTGAAGTCCAATATGACATTTATTCTCATCAATAATAAAGTTAACATTAAAAACTTCCTGTATTTTGGAACCTGAATGTTGGC